CGGCGCGGTGAGGTGAGATGAGATGGGCGTGTTGCTGTAATGGCTCCCAGCTGATACTAAGTGCTCAAAACTCAGCCATCTCCGGTTGAGGGGGAAGGGGGTACCACCACGCCCCTCCCCCACAGAGGGAGAAATTGAGGCCCAGGGAAGGCGGACTCAGGGCACACGTGGCATGGGGCAGAAGAGGTGGCAGTTGGTGCTCAGGCCCCCAGCCTGTGGCCCGTACTGTGGTGCGGAGGGATGGCCACAAGGCAGGCCCCAGGTCGCTGCTGTGCCTTCATCCACCGGCACGGTGGACGGAAGTTGTGGCCCTTGAAAGGCTCTTGGGGCCTGAAGAACATTCGCTCTTCCTCGAGGCCCGAGTTGAGGTGGAAGGGTGGGGGAAGGCCCTACGTCCTCGAGGCCTGGGCTCAATCAGGCAGCCATGAGTGCTTGTACCATCCCAGGAGTGTGAGCGCTCGTCGAACTTCGGTTTGCACAGCGGGGGTGGGACCCTAGTGGTGAAATGAATCCAGAGACCCACTTGTCCTGTTTGCCTGCTAGGGGAAGAGTAAGGAGCCCACAGCTCCCCCTTCCTCTGCAGACACCATCTTTATTGCCCTCCAGGAGAAAGGAGGTGTTGCGCAGAATCCTTTCCCCATCTCCCAACAACACTTGCTATCGTGTGAGTGAGTGTGGTCAGGAAGGCTTCCCAGGACACTTGGGTTTTAATCCCTTCTCTCGTGTTTCTGTCATTGGGGAAATATATGAGTGGTATAGGTGTAGAAAATTGACTTTGCTGTGTTATTAAATATACAATATAATTTTGTGTAACTTTGCTCACTGTGGTGGCCTGTTTGTTTTTTGGGGGAATAGTCCAAGTCTGCATGAAATGTACCGATTCAAATTTGTAAAGTGAGTTGAGGCCTCTGGGGGGTTTTGATGGAAGAGCGGCCCCCTCTTGCTTCATTTCTCCCAGAGGTGAGGCAGAGTCTGGAAGGAAAGCAATCACTGTGTACTGTTCGGGGAGAGGGTGGGTTTCTGGGGAGAGCAGGGTGTTTGTTCCAGTGGCTACAGGGTTTACTGTGTGTTGTGTGTGTGGTAAACGCATATTCACCAGCCTGTTGAAATACACCTTTCTTTAGTGAAAAGTAATTGCATCTGGCGTTTTCTCTGACCGAGAGGTTTGAAAGATTGGAAAAAGAGACAGCCAACTTTCAGTTTGGATTCTTTTGGTTGCCAG